ACCGGGGATCGTACTCAGGACCTTGCGCTTGCGAGGCAGGTGGCGGAACCACTGAGCTAAATCCCCGGCCCCTAACTCTTATCTTCGTTTTAAGTGTGGTCTGTCCCAGGACCCCACAGTTTCCTGGTTCATTTTAACTATTCTATATTCTTACTCAAATGATCACCTTCATGAAGAAAAACTAAATAGATGGATTTATTGTATGTGGAATATTACAGGTTAGAAAGTAATGATATTACTAATTTAACTCAGCATTCCTTGAGATCCTGTGATGTGCTAGATACTGCATTAGAATCTAGGTACTGACATGATGAGAATAAGATTAATCCCAGCCTTCAAAAATTAATAAAATAGATAAATTTATAGAGGAACCCATTTCAACTGCTGTTCCTGTATAATAAAAAACCCTAGGTGTTAGTGGCTATTTAAAAGAGTAAGCACCCATATTTCTCAGGAATCACTGGTTAGATTGGATTATTCTTCAGGTCTTGAACAGAACTACAGTACTCATGAGTCTGATTTCTTCAGGGTTGTTGTGCAACTGTGCTTATCTTTGGCTCTCATACAGATTGTCTCATTATAGATTGCCCCAGAAAGCTTCAGGTAGAACAGCTGGGCTTTTCTCTAGGGAGATGCTCATCCCCTGTCTGGCCATCTTTTTCACATCTCAGTAGAGGGTTCCAGGAAAGAAGAAAAGCTCAAGGCCTCCTGTGGTTGGTGGCACAGTCTTGGAGCTGGCAGACTTTCAGTTCTGCTAAAGTCTTTTTGCCAGCTTGTCACTAGCCTATGCAGATTCAAGGGGCCTGGAAATAAAGACCCTCATGGGAGGACGTTCTAAATTACTTTGCAAGGGGCTATCAAAGAGAGGGAAGTACTGGGCGCCATTTTACAGAGCATACAACAGAGACAAACAGATTTAAGTTTTGCAGAAGGAGAAAAGGCCCATGTAAGTTACTTCATGCTGATTCTTGTAGAAGGAGCACAAGAAATTCTAATCGGTTTGAATTGGAGAACCATAAGTTTCAGGTCTGATACTAATAGAAAATGAGGCTGTATTGAAGGAAAGAGGAGTGGAGTGGCTTATTTGTTATTCCTGGAACCTTGGGCTTATTCTTTGTTTAAAGGGAGCCATCTAAAGTTTTAAGCAAACAGGAATACCATTGTGAGTTTTGCTACTTTTTAGGAAGCATAGCGAATTTAAATTGTACTGAAGTGGGGAGGTTATATAAGGTGCTATTGCAAAATTCTAGACTATGAAAATGATTATGAAGATCACAACGAAGTAGTGAAAAGTATTACCCAAGTGTTGTAAACCTGGCCATCATAATCATTCAAACAAGCCTTTTGAGCCAGGCACTGTTAGGTATTTAAGAAACATCAGTATTTCTGTTCTTAAATGTAAGAGAGGTCTCTTGGAGCTTGGGAACCATTATTCAAATTCATCTTTCTCAATTATCCTACCTTTGAGCATTGTGGTAAATAGATAGAAATAGTAATACTGTATTGTGTAGCTAAGAAATCTCGGTTGGTATTTTGGTGGTTTACAGTGTACTGTGTCTGTTTTGACTGGGGTTTTTCTTCTAATGCACTTAATTATCAGAGCCTTTATAATATTGTTATCATATTGGTTAACTTAAATAATGTATTAAGTCAGTTTTCTCTTCTCTGAGACACAATACTTGGCACCCACAACTTAATAGAAGGAGAGGTTTAATTTGGCTCACATATTTGAAGAATTCAGTCCATGGTTTCCTGGCTCTAAGGCAGGAACATCATGGTGGAAGGGCATGGTGCAACAAAGCTGCTCAGTTCATGGTGGCTGCCCAGAAGCAGAGCAGGGGAACAGTGTCAGAGAGGAATGGGCAAAGAACCATTTATAGTATCCAATTCACACCTCCATAACTCACCCAGACACACTCGGGAGCATGCTTTTTAGTCTGCTAGGCCTTTCTTAGTCCAAGCTGACATGAGGATGCTGAATAAATTTTGTGATTTTCTCTCTGGAGAATGCCCTCCCCTGAAACTTACTGCCATTCTTTCCTCCTATCTTGGGGAACTGAACTTCCTTTTTCTAAATTTTAAGATCATCCTCCCTTGCACCTGATAGCAATGCCCAAATCTAGGTAGGAGAATTATTCAAGAACCTTCTCCTTGAAATCTCTGGATCCAGTTACCAAAGAAACCTGGCTGGCTCTGGTCCCACTTTGAAATGGTCTTTCAGGGCACCTGTCCTCCATTTCAGCTTTCTGCTAGTGAGCGCCACACCTGGAGGCTTCCTGAAACCATACTCCAAGCACTAGCCTTACCTTTGTAGTCCTCCTTTTGCCTGCATGTTGCTTGCTATTGACCCTCTCAGGATCTTAAGCTCAGTTGAGAGCTTTCAATGTCATGTGCCCTGTCTGTAGTTTCTCCCTTCTACACATAACATTATCTTCTTTCATACACATATGGTTGAAATCTGCTTTTAAAACTCAAATTCATGTATAGTTGTTATAAGATTAAAAGAGTTCTTCCCATGCTCCCTTATTCTTACAGTTTTATGCAGCTTTTTCAGGCATCTATACCTGGCCTGTTTCAGTGTGAGTATAAATGTAATTCAGAAGCTCATTCATTAAATTTTTAATTTACTTTGTTCTCTCTTTAGCATATTCAGAATTAAATTTCCTAGATTCAGAAAGTTTAAGAAGCAAAATGTACCTTAAAATATTTTTCTCTTATTGAATATATGTCAGAGCATATGTGGAGTAGTGATTAACTTATAGGAGAAATTCAGGAGTAAAAACTAACTATATTAATGTTCATGAGGATTTACCAATTTTTAAACAAAATATAATAAAATTTGAAAGTAAAATTTTACTATAAAAATAAAGCTTTCTGCTTTCAGAAAATATCTATTATTGACATTATTTGCTTTTTTGTTTCTTTCAGTAAACTACTTTGAATCACTTCACTGTTCTGTTGCCCTTAAATCCCATTATGATGCATTTAATTCCTAACAGAAAACCTATATAGTTATCACTTTTGAGCTTAAATGCAATATGTGTGTTTTGTGGGTTGCTAGAGATTTTTCAGAATGTTATAGCCCAGATACTGTGACTTTGGTAAATTGATGAAGCTCCTTCAGTTTTTCCTACCATTTAGAGATGATATCTAAGTGCACCAAGACCTTATTTAGTTATTTATTTCTTTATCAGAGTGGGGGTTTCTGGAAATACAAGCATTTTTACTAGTAGAAGTCAAAAAGAAGATAGAGATCATTGAAATTTTTTTCCTTACTTCACAGATAGTTAAAATGTTCTTGAGATTTTAAAAACAATCTGAAAATTACATACTATATACGTGTGTACTCTGAGTTTGTGTGTAACTCTTTTTCTCCTACCTAGGTAATTCTGTCCTTGAGAACAGGACTATGTTGTGCCTGATCCCTTAATATAGACTCTTACCCATGTCAGCATCTTGTGTATAGCACATATAACATGTGTGTTGTGTTTAATCATTAAGTATTCTTTTGATTATATCCCAGAAGTTCAGAGCTTGTATTTGTCATTTCATTTGCCTACTAATTTTCCAGTTCATATCTTTTTCCCTTGGTTGTAAGGCATTGATACTGTCACCTTTCCTTTGGTTGTGTGTTTAGTCAGAAAAAGTCTCCTCCCCAACATGGAAAACCATGATTAACTATAGTCATTGTACCCTGATTTCCAGAATCCCATTAAACATGGATTTGTGAAGTAATTCTAGCTAAAGACATGAAGGGAAGTGTGATAAGTTTCCAGAAAAATTTTCCTTCTTACCTCCTTTTTTCCTCACTTAATAATTCTGACCTTAAAGACTCTTGGACTTAGTTCTGATAAGACAGATGTAATTAGTAATCACATCCACTGGACTAATAGGTTGCCTCAATAGATCTCTGTTTCTATTCCAGGAAAACTTGGGAAATTTGGTCATGTTAAGGATGTCATTTTTGACAGATGTATTGATGATTATCAAAGTTTTGCACATGAGCAAACAGAGTCTTTCTTTTCATATCCTCAGAGCTTGCCACATGGCTGGTACACATGGATAGACATCCTGTACATCGTAGATAATCTTCTGAAAGAATGTTGTCAGTTTGTTGACTGTGTCACAGACTCCAGGTGAGGATTTAAAATAAAAGCTAAAAAACAGTTTGAAAGATATTTAAGTCACTTTCCAGGCTGAGAACCCTATAATGTGTTTCTCTTGTCCTAAGGACAACATGATCTAGAGGCCTCAGTCTAACATTTAGGATCCTGAATACTGTGATTAATCTTTGCCTTTCCTCCCTCATCATCTGTCCTCTCTTTGCTAAGCTCATTTTTTCAGATCCTTTGACTTGCCATGTTCCTTCTTATCAAAGATTCTTGGAGCTATTTCCTCTGTCTGAAATCTCCATTCTTTGTTTTGTAGTTGATTTATCTTGTGAGTCTTAGACTAGATAATACTTTCTTAGAGAGGTAGCTCCTGATTCCTCAAGCTAAGTTTATACCCCTTTCCATTTATTCTGCCTTTTGACATTCTGCGCTTTCTGTTCAGGGCCTCACACAATTTTGAGTGAAATGTGTGTTGATTTGTTTCAAATCTGCCCTCATATCATAAACTCCATAAGAGGTAGGATCATATCTTTTTTCTGTTCCAATATAAGCTCCACACTTAGTATTTGTAGCACATAGTAGTTCTCAGCAAGTACTTCAGTGAATAAAATTGCTTTTGCTTAAAGGTCCGACTTAAGAGTTTAAATATCTTTTTTTTGGTACAAGGTATTGAACTCAGGATTTTGCACTTGCCAGGCAGATGCTGAACCACTGAGCTACAGCCCCAGACTTATGAGTTTGTACTCCATTTTCACCATGTTGAATTTTTAGCCCTGGTGAGGCTACAAAGCTTATTTAATGTTGGAAGGGAGTGGGAATGATTTGTTCCCATTTCCTCCAGAATGACAGATTAGTCGATAAGAAACCATACGTTATACCTGGCACCTGGCCTGGTATAGCACTAATACACAAATTATTTCTGTCTTTGCTTAAGATGGGAAAAAATAGTGTAAAATGGTTAGGTGCTTTTTCAATTCATTCATATGTAAGAAAACTCGAGGGTTTTAAAAAAATGCTTACCTATTTGTTGCTTTAGAGTTCACATTTATGTATATGTATCTTGACTGGTTGCTTAACAGCTTATTGGTGAATAGGATTTCATTATGCAGTGCATTACTATAAACTCCTTGATTGGTTTAAGTACCTCTGATGTCACAATTTCTTCATTAAGAAGTCATAATTTTCTTGAATGTATTACAGTAACAATTCTTGCTCTCTTGTTTCATAATAAGAAAGATAATATACCAAAGACAGAAATGCCAGGAGGGCCAGAATATCTTTGATCACATGGACCTTTTCCATTTATGTGCTTTAGCAATCTCCTGCCAATAATTGAAGCTATCTAGCTTCTTTACTTTCTTTTACAACTGATGCCCTTTTGGTTTACACCTCTATCCATTTCTAGGCAGATGGAATGATGAACACATTTAAACTTAATACTTCAACTCCTTGTTCTGTTTCATCTTGGCTCTTGAGGCTTAGCGTCTTCCTGGTACTCAGCCTTCCTGACTCCAAAGGAAAAGCAATATGGACAGCTCATCTGAACATAACATTCCAGGCGGGAAATCGGATTATATCAGAATTAGGAGAAAGCGGAGTGTTCGGGAATCATTCTCCTTTGCAAAGAGTATCTGGTGCCGTGGTACTTCCTGAAGGTTGGAATCAGGATGCTTGTAATCCATTGACCAATTTCAGCAGACCTGAAGGAGCAGACTCTTGGCTGGCCCTCATTGAACGAGGAGGTTGTACTTTTACACATAAAATCAATGTGGCAACAGAGAAGGGAGCAAGTGGGGTGATCATTTATAACTATCCAGGTACTGGCAACAAAGTATTTCCTATGTCTCACCGGAGAACAGAAAATATAGTGGCAGTGATGATAGGCAACTTAAAAGGGATGGAACTATGGCACTTGATTCAGAAAGGAGTTTATGTGACCATCATCATTGAAGTTGGGAGAATCCACATGCCCTGGGTGAGCCAGTATGTTATGTTTTTCTTTACCTTCCTATCAGCCACAGTTGCTTACATCTTGTACTGTGCCTGGAGATCCAGCATGCCCAATTCTTTCACCAGGAGACGAAGACAGGTAAAGGCTGATGTGAAAAAAGCTATTGGTCAGCTTCAGCTTCGAGTGCTCAAAGAAGGGGATAAAGAGCTAGATCCAGATGAGGACAATTGTGTTGTTTGTTTTGACACATACAAACCACAAGATGTAGTACGTATTTTAACTTGCAAACATTTTTTCCATAAGACATGCATTGACCCCTGGCTTTTAGCCCATAGGACATGCCCCATGTGCAAGTGTGAAATTCTGAAAACTTAATCACAGAGAACCTTCTGAAGATGTAGCCAAACCTTTCTAAAGACTGAGATTAGATGAATTCTCTTATGGACAGAAAGTGTCATATAAGTTTCTCTACCCAAGAACTAAAGAAGATGAATTTCTGCTTTGTAAAAATAAAACTCCATTTCATTCCCAGATATTTGGACTGTTGTCTTTCTAATAAATTCTAATTGTTTGTGTTTTTGCCCTTCTTCAAATAAGGACATTAGTATGTTATAAACAATATCTTTATCGCCAAAGTACTGATTATGATATCATTTCAGTGGGGAATAATTTCTACTATTTTAAAGTTTTCTTTTGAAAATATTAATTTTTGTGCATTGTTTCCGTATTTTGCTTAATTTTTGGTCTTTTATAACATGTCTCTGCTCATTAAACTTCATTGCAATTAATTCACCTTGGTCAGTTAATTATTTTTAATATCCAGAAAGTCTGGTGTTCAAAGCTATTGACTGAGTGGATAATATGTTCTAAATAATAATTCTTTTATATGATATTTTGCTTAAGTAATTAAAACTTTTAAATTACTGTGGACCTCAGTTCAAGGAGCAATGCAAAAATTACCTCTGTTTGCCAAAACTCTTTAAATCCTAACATGAATCAGTTATGGTAGCAGATTTTCCTTCTAATAGTGTCCCTGATGGATGCTTTTTCCTTTCTTCTCCAAATGCCAATGAATATTTCTCAGCTTGGGATTTGTATAAGAAGCAAAGCTGAATTTTCCACAGTTGCCTTTCCATATTGTATTTTTTGTCATATTTTGCCTCTCTTTTCTAGTTGATAAATAAACACCTATATAACATTGAGAAGCTGAATGATTTGGGTTTTGTTTTGACGAAAATCACTCTTTCTGGTCAATATGCTAAGCCTTTGATGTCAGATTTAGATGTTGCTGTGCGAGGCTACACAGTATGTACTATGCCTTTTTTTTTAAAGTGACATATAGAAATGAAATAAAATCAGTGGCCTTAACAGAAAATTAACCATTGTAAGCTAAAGGATTCATATCAATATTCTTTCCTATTTGTGCCACATTGTTGGCTGTAGAGCTTTTGTTTTTTTCACCTTTTTTGCTTAAAGTGGCCATGTTGTTGGGTCACATTTCATAAAATTACTGGCTGTCTTATCCTGGTGAAGCCCAGCTAAAACTGCCTTCTAGCACAGAGGGCAGGGACATTTGTGTTCGAGGTAAAAGTTTTTGGTTTTTGTTTCAGACCTGCTGACAAAAAAACATTGAGATCTGTTACCAAGAAACTGTGTGGTAGCAGCTGTGGCTGACCATATTAATTTACAAACCATTCTTTAGCTTAACGCCACGTCATACATTGACATGAGGGTAGCAAAAATCTAAGGAGAACTGACAGTGTATGTTGGGCCTTCCATTAGGAATGTGGAGTTTGGCCAAAATTTTTGTTAAAATCAGTTTATGGCCCTTAACCATTGCTGCAGTCAGTGGTCAACTTTAAGTGTGAAACTTGGAATTTTTCTTTTTGAAATCAATGGCTCCATTTTTAAAAATGAATTTTACTCAACTAATACTACTATATTTAGTTTTTCCCCCTACACTCTGTCTCTCTGTCTCCTCTTTCCTCAAAATGTGATTACATTATATTGGTAACAGATGGCAGGGTCTGGACCAGAATGAGCTTCCCTTAGATATTAGTCTTTTTGTTTTCACTTGTGTCATCTGTACATATAGTGAGCAAAAGTGTAAGAAAGTGAAACAGAAGTAGATTGAGTAGGATACTCTTATTTAAAAAATCAAAACAGGACAAAACCAAACACTTCTAAGAAAGCTTGTATTAAACAAATATAGTACAATAGTTTACATGATAAAGAATTAACACTGTGATCACATGTGATGTAAAACTAGTATTACCACATTCATCACTTTTACCTCACTCTTGATCAAAATACTAGTTTTTAATTATCATTCATTTCTTTAAAAAATACTTGTCATTTGTTGGAATTTTCTATTTTTACTTTATAAAGAAAATAAGTTTATTTAACTCAAACTTTTTTTGCTTAAATTCTTTTATTGGTACATGTTAGCTATGCAATACATTTACATTTATATCTTCCCAAAAGAATTAAAAGAATCATACCACAGCGATATATGTGTACCCATGTTTATAGCGCTACAGGTCCTAATAGCTAAAGCTTAGAAACAGGCCAAGTGCCCATCAACTGGAAACTGGATATGGAATTATTTTCTTGTGAAGAACAATTACAATTCTACAGTATTCTTGTATATGCTTTCAGAGTTTTAAAGTATATACATTACATACATTTTATATTTTTTAGTAGCCATATTATGTAGTTCAGTGATCCAATCCATCTTTTAATAGCACAGAAACTACCTATAATAACATTGGAAACATTTAAGCCAATAAATTTACAGCTTAATCTAAGCTCTTATCTAATTGGCTGCTTGCTCTTTTATGTCACAATTACACCATGCAATAGTAAGTGGTATCTAAAGTTATAATGGGGAGACTGGAAATTTCTTTCAGTGTAAAGTTTCTCTCAAATAAAACATCTGACACGCAAGACATCTTTGAGAATTTCTTACAAAAGCATGCTGGAAGACAGTAGATCTTGTTTTCTTCCAAGAAGGACCTCCCATGGTCCTTTTTCCTTCTTGTTTTAAATTGATTGTCAACAGATGCAGAAGCCACATCTTTTGTTGGGGTAGTTCGTAAATTATTAAGCGAAGAGAGAGATGAAACTCCTTAAGATTGGCACTGGACAAAACACCTCATCTTCCTGGCTTATGAAATTCAGTTTTCTTTGGCTTTTTAGTCTGAACTGTTGCAAAGCCAGTGCAGTTTGGACTGCTTATATGAACATATCGTTTCCTGTTGGGAATCAAGTGTTGTCAGTATTGGAGGAAACTGGAGTATTTGGAAGAAGCTCCACTTTGAAGAGGGTAACAGGAGTTCTAGTGCCTCCAGATGGAAAAACTAAAAATGCTTGTAATCCCAATACCAATTTCAGCAGATCAAAGAACTTAGAGACATGGCTTGCGCTTATCGAACGAGGTGGTTGTAACTTCACACAGAAAATTAAGGTGGCAACTGAGAAGGGAGCCCATGGAGTGATCATCTATAACCTTCCAGGAAGTGGCAGTCAGGTTTTTCCTATATCTCATCAGCCATTTGAAGACACTCTTGTAGTTATGATTAGCAACTTAAAAGGAATGGAAATTTTGCATTTAATTCAGAAGGGAGTTCCTGTTACAGTCACAATTGAGGCGGGGAGAAAATATGTCATCTGGATGAATCACTACTTTGTCTCTTTCATGATTGTCACAACTGCTACGTTAACATATTTTGTCTTTTATCATATTCATAGACTTTGGGTAGCAAGGAGTCAGAACAGGAGATGGCAGCAGTTGGCCACAGACCTTAAAAAAGCTTTTGGCCACCTCCAAGTTCGGGTATTAAAGGAGGGAGATGAAGAATTAAATCCAAGTGGAGGTAGCTGCGTAGTTTGCTTTGAACCCTATAAGCTTAATGATACAGTTCGCATTCTGACTTGTAAACATGTTTTCCACAAGAATTGTATTGACCCTTGGATTCTAGCCCATGGCACTTGCCCCATATGCAAATATGACATTCTTAAACCTTTGGGGATTCAAGTCGACAATGAAGATGGAATAGAATCTTTAGAAGTTCTAATGGCGAATGAATTACCTGAAACCCTATCTCCTAGGCAAGAGGAGATAAATAATGAAGTTCCCTCTGCAAGACTGTCAGATGTGGAAGAACACCTTCTCTAAATAGTAACAGCAAGCCCAATTCAATAGGGGAAACCGTTTATCCTTCACCTTGACAGCTTGACCTTTGAGGAAGTAGATTAAACCTGTTTGTCAAATCAGGTCATAATAACTGACAAGCAGTTTGTTTGAAGCGTAGTCTATGTGTCCTTTTCTGTTACTGTGGTAATTTTCTGCATTCTTTGTTAAGGGTCAAAGTCAGAAAAAAAGGTCTAATGGGATTTTTTGGCTTAATTTTTGACATGTGCTAAACATAACTTTTTGCCAATGTATATTGCTCCTGTGAATATACATGAGGTTATTTCTGTGTACACATGCATGTTAAAGGCAAGAACACTTTTTTTCCTAAATATTTTTGTATATATACAGTATTGGGCTTTAATAAGAAAATATATTTGCATGTTCCTTCTAATATAGAAACTCTTAATTAACTCTAAAAACATAGTTTATTTTATGTGCTAAAAAGAGTAAAATTTATATTTTCACAATGTTTGTAGTACATTATATTAATTTTGATGCCATTATGCATTTTTCCCATTCTTGGCATGAAAATTTTGCTGTACAGAATTTTATCACTTATTCTTGATCAAGAATTCTCTTCATTTAATACATTTTATGTGATCTGTGTCTGCACAGTGAAAGCAGTTTTTAAGATGAAATATTAACTCTTTGTACGGCAAATATTTCAGTGCCCAAATATTTCAGATATTACTTATAATATCTATGTGATCATAATACATAGATTTAAATGATATAGAATTTCTGTGATATTTAGTCATGGCCTCATACATTTATTTCCCATGTTTTCCAACCCATTCCAAATTAATTTTTGGCCGTTCAAGAAAGTGTTTACAGTTCAGAATTTTTCATTATAGTTTAGCTTTACTAGCGTACCAGTTTAGCATAATGTTAATGAGAAACTTTGAAGTCTACTAGGCTAACACTAGTGATTGAATTTTTCTGTTGTCCTTGAGAGAAACCTAGTGAAGAGGGATTTTGTTAATTGCTCCAAGCTGCCTATCCAAGAATTCAGAGACAGGTAGAAAGGCAGGTGGTGGCTGCAACTGCAGCACCAAGGAAACTGTTCAGAAGTGGGACACTCACCAGAGGCCAGCTAGTGTAACGTCATGACAGCATATGAGCAGATGACCAGGTTGGAGTGATATCTTGCTTGGTACACATAGGCTTTTTTATGCAGTGCTGGAGAGGTTAGACTGTTAGCTACAAGAGCTGGTTTTTGGGGCTACTGGGAGATGTAGAAGAACACTGCTTTGAGTGCCATTTTGTGTTCACTCAGACAGTAAGAGAAAGCATACTTGGAGCCATCTCTGGGAGAGCCAGCTCTGAGACT